TTAATCTTGTGCATGAAAAATGGGGGGCTTATCCCCCGAATATCTGTCAAAGTCCATCCAATAGCCTTCTTCCTCTTTTGTAGCACCGCCAATGTGGAGTCTACCTGCACGTTAGTCAAAGAAGAGGAAACAATAACTAGTAAAGTAGAAGAAGGGCCAAGAAATTCATACCGAAGATGTGGAGGAAATGGCTTTAAATCTAAGACAGGAGGCTCCTCAATTGAAGGCTTTGTTGGAGGAATGGTTCTATTCTCAAGATCCAAGGACAATTTGCGGGGCTCATAAGTGTACGACCCTATCCCTTGCAAAGAGTTCACATATTCCACGTAACCCTCCATTTCTTCATCATCACAATTGAGCAAAACGGCCTCCAATGTATCATCAACATTCATCACGGCACTTGCTTCATCCACAATCACATCGGTCACCAAATCTACGAAAGAACACACCTCATTGCTATTGGGTTGCCTCATAGATTTATACACATGGAAAACCACCTTTTCATTACCAACCCGGAATGTAAGTTCTCCTGCTTCCACATCAACTAGAGCCTTCCCCGTAGCAAGGAAAGGTCTCCCAAGAATGATCGACACCTCATAATCAACCTCACAATCAAGAATAACAAAATTCACCGGGAGAATAAATTTATCAACGCGAACCAACACATCATCAATTATACCCAATGGTTTTTTCATGGTACGATCCACCATTTGTAATCTCGTAGATGTGGGTCTTGGTTTCCCAATTCCCAAAATCTTGAAAACTGAATACGGCATCAAATTGATACTTGTCCCAAGATCACAAAAAGCTTTAGCAAAGTCTGCACTTCCAATGGTACAAGGGATTGTGAAAGCATCAGGATCTTCCAATTTAGGAGCCATTGAATGCACAATTGCACTCACTTGATGAGTCATCTTTATAGTTTCACAATTCATCGACCACTTCTTTGTCACCAAGTCGTTCATGAACTTTGCATAACCGGGCATTTGCTCAAAACCCTCAACCAATGGCACATTAATAGATAGACTCTTTATCATGTCAATGAACTTTTTGAATTGATTCTCGCCATTTTGCTTGTCAAGCCTTTGAGGATATGGAGGAGGAGGCATTGGTATTGGTGCCTTAGCCTTTGGCACTACCGGTTCCGATATGTCAATAATGTGCTCCCTAGATGAGTTCACTTCCTTTTGAGTCTCCTCCGCATTGTCATCAATATCAATTCTTACTTCATCATTTGCTTGCACCACATTGTTCGGGATCTCATCTTCTTGTACCACTTGCTCATCATCCATAATTTTCCTTTGACTTGAGGTGGGTGCGTCCCTACTTTTTCCACTCCTTGTAGTAACAACCATGACATGTCCCGTGTTGTTTCCACCCTTTGGGTTCAACTTGGTAGTGCCTCCTTAGGACAAGTGTTTAAAGCTTGCGAGATTTGCCCCAATTGAACTTCCAAATTGCAAATTGAAGTGTTGTGAGAGGCTAATTGGGCATCGGAGTCGACATTCTTCTCCATCATTTATTTGAACATGTTCTAAATTCATCCCATCTCATTGTTGGAAGAGCTTGGACCATGGGAAGGAAAATGAGGTAGGTTGCTCGGTTATTGATACATCGGGGGCCTCTGAAAGCCTGACCCCTGATTTCCTTGGTTATTGTTCCATCCCCCTTGGTTGTTGCCTCCCTAATATCCTTAACTATTGCCACTCCAATTGCCTTGGTTATTTTGACCATTCCAATTTCCTTGATTGTTTTGATTATTCCAATTCCCTTGCTTATTACCACAATTCCAATTACCTTGGTTGCTAGAATTCCAATTCACTTGATTACCATGTGGTCACAATTGTTGTTGATTCGGGCCTTGAGAGTTGTTTCTTTGTCCTTGAAAGTTGTTCACATATTGTACTTCCTCCTCTTGTTCATTGTAAGATTCATCTTGATCAAACCCACTATCTTCTTGCACATAATGTTCCGCACGGTTTTGCACTTGAGGACCCTTTTGCCTTTTCTTGTTTACCATCATATTAACTCCCTCCATTGCATTGACTTGCTTAGGACCTTGCACTTATTGAAGTTGAGCCTTGGCTAATTTATTCATTGTGGTGGTCAACTCGGCAATTGCTTGCCCATGATCATGCAATTCTTTATGTAGATGAATCACGTTTGGATCACCTTGAGGAACATTTGCTCTACTTTGCCATGCGGATGAAGTATCTGCCATTTCATCTAAGATCTCACAAGCTTCCTCATATGGCGTTGTCATGAAATTTCCACCAGAAAATTGGTTGACCACGCATTGATTGGTAGTATTGATCCCCATGTAGAAAGTTTGTTGAATCATAGTTTCCGTCATGTCATTGTTTGGGCACTATTTCACCATAGTTCGGTACCTCTCCCATATTTCATACAACGGCTCATTGAGTTCTTGTTTGAATGCCAGAATCTCGTATATAAGAGTAGCCATATACCCGGGAGAAAAGAACTTGGAAATAAATTTCTCCGCCAATTCATCCCATGTATGGATGGAATGGTTTGGCAACCTTTCTAACTAATCCAAGGCTTTTCCTCGTAGAGAGAAAGGAAATAGCCTCAACCTTAAAGCATCCTCAGAGACGTTTGTCTGTTTACTCCCCGAGCAAGTGTCTACAAACCCCTTCAAGTGTTTGTACTCATTTTGATTCGGAGCCTCGATGAAGAATCCCCGTTGCTCTAGCAATGTGAGCGTAACATTTATGATTTGAAAGTTGCCCGCCCTAATGCAGGGCGGGACTATGGCACTTGCATACCCTTCATTCGGCAACACCCGGTGTGGAGCCGCTCTTGGTGGATGTGGGGGTAGAACGGGAACGTTGTCTTGAGGCGGTCGGCCTCGTCTATTTGCTTGAGGTTCAAGAGGAACCTCTTCAACTTGGTCATCTTCCACGTCCACATCCCCTAAAGGCATGTTTCAGAGAGGATTATTGTTGTTGAGAGCCATTGTTTCACCAAAAAGATTAGTAACAAGAAAGGAAAAGAAGATAATTCACACACAAAACCAAATATATAGCTAAATCCGTTTTTAGCTCCCCGATGATGACGCCAAAAATTAATCTCGTCCAAGTCACACCTCTATTTGAGGTTATGAAATGGTCGATGCAATAGTAATACCCAACAGAGAGTCGGGGTCGAATTCCATAGGGAGCTATATGAATCAGATTTAGAGGTATATATTGTGGTGAATGAGCTTAAACTATCTTAAATTACACTTCCACAAGGTTTGGTTGATTCTAGGTCTAGTTTAAACTAAGATTGCAAGATAAATAATTAAAAATAAGAAATTATTTTTGTTGTTCTTTTCAAATAATGTAAAAGGCCTAGGGCTATGACCTTCACCTAAGTGTTTGCCTAATGGGTTGTAACTTGTAAAGCTTGTTTCATTGGTCGGGGTGTATTATAGCTATCAACACTCAAGTACCCACTCAATACCTCTCGGTAAGAGAGTGATTTTTCCAAATTTGGCTTTCTCAAGTCCAAATGGGTATTGAACAAAACAGTTGATAAAATGCTCAAGTCGGATTTTACTATCTCTAGGTTCAACCCTTTAATTGGGACTATCAATCTCTTGATTTTATCCCAAATTCTTGTTAGCCAAGTTTTCCTAGACTAAGTCTCTCTTTCTCAAGAAGAGACCAAGTCAAATAGGCATGAACTAATGTTTGCAACTATTAATTCTTCAATTAAAAGCAAGAATAAGGCTAAAATAATAAACGCCCAACCATAAACAAGCCAAGAAATCTAACTACTCATAATGGGCATGGAAGAAAATAAAGAAGAAAAGATGATAAAACTCATATTGCAAGATTAAAAAATAAAAATCCAATGTTAAATCACCAAAGTAAGCTAAAGTTGCCTAAAGAGGCAAGTAAAAATGGCTATAGGACTTTCAATATTCCAAAACTTAACCTAATTTTGTGAAACTAGTCTATTTATACAAAGCTGGAATTTTCGGACAAAAATATCCTTTCGGAGGTTCTGAGGCCGCACAATTCCATGTGCGGTCCGCACTTCTCTTCAGTCTTGACAGGAGTTGACTCTACAGTCGTACAATTCTGGATTGCGGCCGCATCTCTCATATTCTGCAGTCTGCACAATTCTTGATGCGGCCGCACAGGGCTCTTCTGCGGACCGCACATTTCTGAGTGCGGCCGCACAATTATTGTGCGGTCGGCATTTCTTTTTGAGCTTGAAATGAGACTCTCTGAACTTTAGCTCTTGCATAGCTTCTGTGGCCGCACAATAATTGTGCGGTTCGCACTTTGCACTTGGACTCTGTTAAATTTTCTTCACATTCTGCGGCCGCAGATGAAAATCTGCGGTTTGTACTTGAGCTTTTGTGCCTGATTTTTGTCCTTGAGTTCAGATCACTCCTTCTTGAGTTGACTTTCATCTTAGTGGTTCATTTTTCAATACTCCTGTAATTAAGCATATTTCATCAGTTTTCGAAAATATAATTAAGCACTTTTGGACTACAACGAAAGCTAAAAGGCGCTAATAAGTAGTCAAAATCCTACTTATCACTTATCTCATATTATTGTGTTATTTTCTTGAAAAATACACTATATAATTGTATCTTACTAGGACTAAAGCAATATTTGGAGCACAAGTTACATATTTTGTGCTATTAACACTTTATCGAAAAAAAACTTGAAAACCCGGAACAAAAACGAAAAACGCGAGAAAAATGGAGATTGAAAAAATCCGACTTTGTTGGTTTGATTTATAGATTTAAAAATTCTACACCATTGGTTTGATTTGATAACTGAAAAATTTGAACCAACACGACCTATATACAACGCCGCAAGAAAAAAACCATAAAAAAAGAAATATGTATGAATAATTATTGGTATCTTTAATAAAATTTTTGACTGAAATAAGACTTTCCAGACATGAAACAACTTTTACCACATCCTTTAAAATGTTTTTGATGAAACCAGTTCTTTGAAAATCTTTTAAATTTCTTTAAAAAGTTGTCTCCTACAGTAATTTACCACCTCCACTAAATAGCCCAACTTCGAGGGTCTTCACTGTGCCCGGCCCCCGGCCGTGAAGTAGCTCGCCCCGGCCTCCGGCGACCTCATTGAACGGCGAACAAACGACTTCGTATGGCAAATCCTCTGCTACGAGGCCTTCGAAGACTTCCTTTTGTTTCACTTCTCAGAAAGCCACTGTCTTCTAATATCTGTTCTCACAGGTATTAAAGCTAAAATCTTTCTTTTAAAAATCTTATCTTTTTGATTATTTCTGACCTTTTTCTCCATTTTTAGGCCAAATCTTGGAACCCACGTTGGTTATATTGAGTAGAGCTAACATCTATTTCTAAATTTCTTCACTTTTCTTTTCTTAGTTAATTATTATATTGAGCAAGTCCAATTTATTTTATTATCTCTCACTATTTTCTCCATATTTAGGCCAATTCTTGGAATCCCAGAAAGCTTTTTTCCCTTACCAAAGTTAGTGCTTCATAATAACTTAACCCCAAAAAACTTATTTTGGGAATTTAGAGGCTTTAGCCATGGGAGTGTGAATTTTGTGATAACAAAAGATGGGAAGCCCAAGTTTGAGACACATGAAGTGGAGGCACCAAAGAAGGAGAAATGGAAGACAAAGAAGAGGCTAAAGCTGCAAAGGAAGAGGGATAAGAAGAAGAGAAAAGCTGCAAATAAGAGAGATCCAAGAAGGCTTGGTGTTAAGGGGAAGAAAAAGAAGCAGAAGTTTGATACTCCTGAAGAAAGAATTAAGCAGAAGATTGAAAATGTGAGCTAAAGATTTTTCCTTTTTTAACTTTTAGGAGACACTGATTAATTTTTATCTCTATTACTCACTCCATTTCACTTTGTTTGTCACTTGACACGAAGTTTAAGATAGAAATGAATACTTTTGAAATTTGTGATCTAAAATATGTCGTAACATTTGTGTCACTATAAAAGTTTTAAAACCTATTTGTGTGGTAAAAGCTTCCCATTAAGCAAATATAAAAACGTGTCATTCTTTTTGAATGAATTAGTAAGAAAATTAGTGCCAAACAAAGGAATGGAGAGAGTACTACTATTACGCCTCATTCCTAAACTCCATTTGCTCCAACATGAATGTACCCTTATACTCCCTCCCGTTTCAATTTAAACCTATTTTTCTAAGCAGGGAGTTTAAGAAAGAACGAAAGACTTTTAAAACTTGTGGTCGTAAACATGCTATAGCATTTGTGTGGTTACGAGACATTTAAAACTTGTGGTCTTAGACATGCCATAACATTTGTGTGGCTGTAAAAGCTTCTCATTAAGGGTAAAATGGATAGTTTAAGTTAAATTGTGTTCAATTTTAGAAAGAGGTCATTCTTTTTGAAACGGACTAAAAAGGAAATAGAGTCACATAAACTGAAACGGGGGGGTATTAGCTTAATAGTCCGCAATAGCATATATAATGAACTGAGTTGAAGAACTTGTGTAGCGTAGCGATCTAATATGAATCTCAGAATGAGTTGTAACCTATTTTCTTCAATTTGGTTGACTAAGAAATTAGAAGGGAAAGTTGTGAGGAAGATAAGGAAGCTTAGTGGAAAATGAAAAAAAGAGAACCTATTCTTGTGATTGTTAAATTACTTGAGTAACCTTTTATATTACATCTTCTCATTTGGTACTCGGAGGAGAAGCATTTTTGAACCTGCCTTTGTCTTTTTCCTTCTCTTCTTGGCTGCATTGTTGGAGCTTAATCATAGTAGTAAATGTAAAGAAGATCTCTTTTGGCTATTATTTCGGTCTGGAAATACTTATTTAGTAAAGTTATTTTTCTGGAGATTGGAGAAAAATAGGAGCCTGTTTACTTTCTGATTACTTTTGATTTTTGTGTAGTCTACTGAAACCAAGATGCAGCAAGTGCTTGTATGCTTGGTTGCTGCCTCACTTGGATGACATTTCGTTATTTAGGTTTTGTCGCTATCTTACCTTTTTTCTGGTTTAGGGATGTGAAGATTTCGGTGTGGTCACCTTATATCTATGTTTGTAGAAGCTAATATTTGTTTTATTTTCATTTTCCAGTTGACTGCTATATGAAAACAAATGTAATTATTTATCTTAACAAAAGCTGACATGTTTTGTCTTGGTCAGGCAAAAGTCAAAGAAGCCATGCTAATCGAGAGATTAAAGCGATATGAGGTTCCCAAAGTTCAAGGTCCTGAGGTTAAGCCGCATTTTCTCACTGGTGAGGAACGGTTCTATATCAAAAAGATGGCACAGAAAAAGTCTAATTATGTGCCAATTGGCAGAAGGGGAGTTTTTGGAGGTGTTATTCTCAATATGCATCTACATTGGAAAAAGCATGAAACTGTCAAAGTCATATGCAATTCTTGCAAACCTGGTCAAATCCAAGAATATGCCGATGAAATTGCAAGACTGAGCGGTGGCATCCCAATTCAGATAATCGGGGATGATACAATAGTTTTTTACAGAGGAAGGGATTATGTGCAGCCCGAAATTATGTCTCCTATTGATACATTGTCTAAGAAGAGGGTAAATTCCTTTTAGCTGATTGTTTATAGTTATCAATTAATTACAGTACTTCTCATCATGTAGTTATGCAAAAGCTTACTTTCTTAAGTCTCATTGTGCATTGCCCTTCTATTATGAACCTCTACTCGTTCCCACACTTCCACTGTCATTCTCCATTGATTGACTTTTCTATTTATAATCTTTTTTGCGTGGATCCTTCATTTTTCTTGATGTACCTATGCCAAACATGTATGACATGGGTGTGGGTACTTGTGTGGTTTCTTCAAATTTCTCTAAAAATTGAACGTAGCCGTACCAGATACATATATCCTAGCATTGTTTGTTGATATCCTTCTGTGACTTGTGTTATTCACTCTACATCTCAAAAGAACCGGACCCTTCACTGCACCATATATACACCGTTTCAGTTTGCAATTTCCTCATTGTCCATTAACCTGTTTTTTCTTGCTTCATTTCTCAGAATTTACAAGAAAATATTGGTTTGGGTTTTGCAATTTGTTTGGTGATAATTGGAACTGTGAGATTTGGTTGCACAATGTTTTTGAATTGATGATTGTTTAGTTTGAAATTGAAATTAAACATGGTGAGCTTTGTATCATCTGTTTCTCTCAGGGATATATACCAAAAATATCTTTTATTGAACTTGGAGTTAATTATCTGTTACTTTATATTCACCAAAACATAGTGAACGATCTTATTCTGCAAATGGGCCTTTGGATACTTACCTTTTTTGCCACAACTGTCTACTCACAACTTTTTCTTTGAAGGTAAGTATTTCTCATAGAAATTTATTAGTCCATACTCTGTTCTTCACATGTTTAATGATATCTTCTTTGGTAATCAGTTGACTGTACTTAAGATATAAGATTTTGACTCTTAATACTGTTGACTCTGACTTATTTACCTGCATCCTTGTTTTATCTATTTTTATATCAAGCATGGTAAGAATTACTGGTCAATTCACTTTCTTCAGGCGTTGGAAAAGTCCAAGTATGAGCAATCGCTCGAGTCTGTTAGACGTTTCATTGCCATAGCTGAGAAGGAACTTGAACTCTACTATAGACATGTTGCCCTATACGGTGACCCAAATAATCGGAGTGCTTACTCCATCCTTGATGATTCAAGAAGTGCAAGAGAAAAACGAAATGCTGAAATAGGAGAGGAGAACTATTCATCGAGCGAATCTAATCCCTTGGATCTCGAATTGTCAGAAATTGATGATAATTGTTCTGATGACAACCAGTCCTTAAGCGAATTTGAATTCGAGGATACTGACGAATCAAGTAGTGATGACTTGGATTCTGGGGAGGGTAACTCTAGTAATTACTCAGGCAGCATACAGGGATATACTAGTAGATATTCCAAAGGTAATCCTGGTAGTCAAGAATATCTTGGATTTAAAGATTGAGACCTGAAATAATGCGGCTTTAATTCTTGTTCCGGTAGTTTCATGATCTAATTCTGTAGCGTAACCTAAAATTTCTGATTCTAATTTATAGTTGACGTTTCCAATTGGTTTCCTTGTATTGACACTAGACCCTAACAAGAGGTATTGCCGGTGAGATTATCCGGGGGATCCTCCCCACCTTGTGTTTGTTATAATCTGACCTGAATTCTTGAAGTTTGTAACTTGACGCTAGAATCCGACTTTTTATTTCTTCGATTGATGGCGGAAGGATTATTCTTAAGCTTCTACAAAATCTTCATGGCCAAATTTTGGTTATGGGTTTTGATTCCAATGGCACAAGTTTCATTCCCGGGGAACTGCAATAAATGGCAGTCATGTTCAGGTTGGTTGAAGCAAAGGCCAGATATTTTCCTGGTGAGTAATAAGTTTTTGCTGTATATATATATACCTTTTGCTGACATTGGGACCAAATTTGGAATTAGTTCTGCAAAGTGTTTCATCTTTTTTTCTTCCACTTTTTCTTTATCCCATAGGTGAAGTCGTTTTATGTCTCTGATTACTTTGTTTAGAGAATCGTTATTCTGGAACTCTCCCTTAAGCTTCTCCACTACTCCCGCTTTCACCTTGAATTCTTGAATTTTACATTGAAAAATTCACATTTTGTTTTGTCAATACTGGCTGCAAGCCAGCAATTTTGCTGTCCCAATCATCTCATATTTGCATTTTGACAAATTTAAGCCCTTATGTAGTACTTACCTTATTTTCCGGCTCAATTTATCTCACAGTATAGTGCTTTTTGAGCTAGTTGACTTTCTTTTATCGATCAACCCTTACTTGCTTCTAAAATATGAAATGCCAACTATGGCAGTTTGGGCTATAAATACTAATGGTATATGCTTTAACTATAGATGCTAGGATTCTTCTTATCATAGGCTTACGCATCTAAGAATTCAAAATATGTTTCTGCATCATGCTGCAAGACCTTTCTACCCTCCCGAGTTGTTGCTAGATACTGTGTTCTTTGAGTATTAGTCGGTATTTATATTTTATGCCTGCCATGTTGCTCATAAGATCCATTGAACAATGGTGGCCGAAGTGTTTTGGTGAATGGTACACCAACCTCGTTTCAGATTTAACTAGGAAAGAGGTAGTGTAGTAAGACCTTTCAGTTTTTATCTGTACATGTGTTACTAAACTTTCTCAAAGACAGTACTATTTAAAACCCTTAATGTAGTAAATTATAGTTGGAGTTGTTGCAGTACCTTTGGGTTCTTTTTAAGCAACTTCCATTTCATAATTTTTCAATCTCTTCCCTGGATATATATGAACTGTGTATTTTGTCAGTTTGGTTGATCTTGAATTATTTTCTGCTGCTTGTATCCTGATATCATTTAGAGATACTAGTTCTTTTTATCTTTCCTCTTCCTATTTTGCAGATAACTGGCATAATTCGTATTTGATGAATGGGAGTCTGCAAAGAAAAGCGTGGCCAAGGTGGATAGCACGAGTCCAAATCATAGTAGAGACAAAGAATGTTAGATGATTTCTTCCGATCTACCTAAGTCTTGGTGGGCCGAGTTACAGGTATTATCTTGGTGGATAAAGTTACCCGATATCTTTTGTTGGTGGGAGGTTGTAAGAACGAGAGAACGCTAAAGAGCAACGCAAAGTTCCGATTGCTGGATGTAAGGAAAGTATGCTTGATAGTAATTGGAAGCTACTTTTCCCAAAATCATGTGTCAAGGAACTGTCCCAATTCTACAGTTTGTTCTACATTTGCTCACTTGTAAATTGTAACCATAGTTATGTTAAATTTTATTTTGAAGAGGAAAAGACACAGTTTTCTTTTAAATATTTTAATATTTCAATAAAATTTTCCACCATATATTACAGGTCTCTTTAGTCTTTAGTCTGCTACTAAGAGGAAAAGAAAAAGGCTTATTAAATAACGCAGAGCTATATATACACGTATGTTGATGTTGTCTTTCCTGGCAAAACAGAAATAGAAGAGAAAATGTCGCTTAAAAGAGAAACCTGCTTTCTTTCGAGTCCTAACTAACATTTGAAAGAAGAAAGATTCCCCTTCTTTGAGGCAATGTTGGTTTAAAAAAGTAGGAAATCTACCTTTCAAAGGTATATTGGGGTCGTTTGATTTGGATGGATTAGAAAAAAATAATTTCAACATAACTATTAAAGAAAAATATTCTATAGCATAACTAATCTAGCGTTTGTTTTTTTTTCTCGCATATTTTATATAACTAGTATCTATGAACGTGCGTTGCACGTTAATAATGGCACGTGATGATTTAAATATTTATTTATATGAAGGAATAATAAAATTTAATTAATAAAAGAAATTTTATGTATAATAATACACCAATCATCTAAATGCTGAAAAATATTATTATATTAGCATAACACATAAATTTAAAATAAAATAACATCATCAAAACTTACACAAATGATCAATTTTATCATGTTAGTTGGATAATTATGTATTATAGTTTAAAAGTATTTAATGTGATGGTATCTTAACGGACACTTCTTTGAGGACAGTATTTTTTTGTGTATGTTTCCTCCTAATGCTTTGGTTGCTCTGGCTTAACCAGAACTCTTGTTGTCAATCTTGATATCTCTCTTAAAAGTGCAACATATAATTATTCGTGCAAGAAAATATATTGCGGTAAGTATAGTCCAATATTTAGGATGTTTGTCGTTGTACTTTATTTATTATGTTTGCAAAACATAAACATACTAAAAATTATTTTCACACAAATTTAAAAGGATATTCCTTAGTTTCGGAAGATGAAAGTTGAATTTAGGGATAAGAATATACTTAGAAGCACATTGACTAGTATCATAATTTTTGCATGTATGACGTTATTGTCAAAACTTCTATATACCATATGTATGCTATTACATAAGCTATTCGGCGTATCTATGTTTTTCAGTAGCATGACGGCCACAAGCATATTTTTCTTCAAAATCAAACTATATACGATGGAATATCAATTTTAACTTAGTTCATTATATAAACAATGACACTAACATATGTAAGAAATAATAAACTTGACAACAAACATGTATGGCAGAAGGCCATTTGGTATTAAAGTATTTAAGTATTCTTCTTGTTGTAACTATTGGTATCATTTTCTGATGAGTCAGAAACAGAATAACATTTTGTTTTTACTATAAAATTATGCCATCAACCTTTTATTTAGTTAATCAACATATTTATTTCTGCTAGCTAAGATATTTTTTAAATCTATCATACAATTGCACAAATTGCGTTTTAATCTAATGATAGAAATATTTCTCTTATTAGATGCTCTACTATTGCCATTGTGATTGATAACCAAGTGTTCAGGAAGAACCAAATCATCTTTTAATGGATGCTCTTCTTCGTTTCTAACACGAAGCAAGAAGACATTGAATACTGAATCTGTTCTTACTTTATATTTCTTGTCAGTTGAATCTTTTTCATTTGAGGCTAGAAGTATAACTTCACAAGCTAGCTTTTACAGTCTCTGCTTTTATCGAGTTTGGAACTACTGGTACTACTTGACGTAAATTACATCCCAAATTATTAATTTTCCACCAAACGGTTCATTAATATCAAATGTATCTCTATAACTGCGAGCAATTATTTCGATGGNTGATATTTGCAAGTAATGCATGACATAAAAATATTATTTCGATTCCGCCGGAGGCATCTACAAAGAATAATTCCGTTATAGCAGTGTCGACTCTTTATAATATAATCTTGAAAGATTGTTCTTGTTTAAGATTTAGCTTTGATTGTGCTTCCTAAAACACTTGTATAGCATTCTGATTCTTAATAATATACTAACCTTTTTTATTTTGTGTTCTAATGCTCTTTTTATGGAATAAAGTTATGTACCTTAAGATTTTTTTTTAACTTGAATAAGAATTTTACTCATATGATGAATTTTAAAAAATAATTGAATTGGATTCTCTTGCTAAATAATTAATTAAAAGATTTAATTATTTGGTTTTAAAATAAAAAATCAGTTATTCTATATTGATTCAGATCTTAATATTAGTTCATCTCTTGTTTTGAATATTTAATCTTAATTATAATTTTATCCTCCATAAATTTTATTTTCAAAGAGTAAAAGATTGATGTGACATTTCACTTTTAGATCTTTATGTTTGTAGAATCATTAGTGGTATTGACTCTTACCAACTATTGTTTTCTCTTTCTCACACATTTATATTCTTAGTTGTTGTTTAATAATTGGGTATTTTTTAATATTACACGAAAAATTGATTTAAAAAAATATTATTTGAGTAGGAAAATAGTTCAAATATAATATAAAAATATATTATTGTGGGATATTTTCTTTTTCCAGTTTCAACTCTTTATGCAGTCCATTTAATATTACTTTTATTTTTTCTTGGTATTGAACATTATAAAGTGGTAATGTATTGCCAATACGGAGGATTCTTATGAAATTGATTTTATTAAACTTTCATACATATTTTTAATAAGAATTTAATAGATAAAATTTTATTATTTTTAAAATCTTAAATATTAAAAATTATCATAAAATGTATTGTAGTCCAAAAAATAGGTTATTGCAGTTATGTCCTCTTCCTATGAATTATTTCGTTTAATATTTTAGGGCTATTTTAGTATATTAATATTGTATTTATACTTTTATAATAATACATGCTCTCCTTTTTCTAAATGAATTTGGACAATATAATACATTCTCAAATTAAATTAGTAATAAGACATTATAATACGTTTTCAAATTATATTAGTAATAGAAATTTTTAAGAAGTATATCCTGAAAGTAATAGGATTACATGACTAAAAATATTTACTTATTCAGTTTTATATGAATTAGACAACCCGAAAATAATTATATTAATAAGATTCATAAAGGTAATCATGTAGGATTCCTAACGTGTAGTATTATGTTTTAAAATTAATAGGATTATAAGGCTAATATCTAGAATTTCGGTTATATCCTTTTATTATGAGTTATTATGCTTAACATTATAAGGTTATTTTTGTAAACCGATATTATATTCATACTTTTATAATAATATAGATAATTGGTTGACAATATTCGATAATATACGTACTAAATTATGCTGAAATTTATGCATTATTTTATATGAGATTGAATGTGAAATAAATTGAATTTATATGTCAAGTAAACAGATTATTAAATTTATAAGAATATATACTACTCTTTATGAAGGGAAGTCTTAGAACAATATTAAAATTATCAATATGTGAATTATAGATTATAGATTCAAGCCGTAAAATTAGTTACTGATGTTTGTGTCAGAATAAATTACCTATATCATTACTCTTAGCGTGTGACCTCGAATAATGCAAAATGCTTTGTGTATTGAACTACGTTTTAGATGGATTGAACACTTATCTTAACTAAAAGATCGAGAAACATATGAGTTAGCCGGGTGGCTGGGGTCCTCTTATGTTCTTTTCTGTCTCTGCTCAACTTCTCAGATGGTTGATGTGGCATGAGAATGTCCATTTTGTAACAAATTTATCTCGACTCTTTTACAACATAAAGGAATCATTTTTGAATCCTGGTTCTCTCATGGAACAAATGGGAATTTACTGTTTTGCAAACTAAATATGTTTATTGTTTAATTTAATTACATCTACTGTCGATCATCTACAATTTAATGAGNATATATATATATCATAGATTTTTAATTAAAGTTATTTTACTAAAATATCCTTCAAAAGCTGAATGACAATATTACCCTCTTAATTTACCCTTTGAAATATCTCCAATTAAATGCTCTATGCCGTTTTCTCCCTCCTGTTCTTCTCAACGAAATGTGTGAAAACATTGCTTATAAATTAGGACTTTAATTACTTTACCTTCTACTTAAATGTATGATAGTTCATTTTATGGGTTGGAAATTAAATTTTCTATTTAATTAGGGTCCTATTAAATGGTATATCATGGCTGGCTTGAACGTGGAGGGAATTGAAAATCTAAAACCAACAAAACGTTTTTACCTCATAGATTAACTTAAGCTACATAGTGGTGTTAGAAAACTTTTGGGTTTCTCGATCTGCCATCATCCTTTCTCCGTCTGCACCAATAAATGGACATCCGTTATCACAATAACTTGCTAATTAATCTATATATCTATATAAAACAAGGCCTTAGAGGATCCATGTGGCACATCCTTTAAGTTTGGAAAGATATTTATCTTTTTTATCATTTTTTTGTCTTTTTATTTCATTTTTTCTATTAAATATCTATTGTTTTCCTTCAATATAACCGTTGCAACACTTGCTAATGAAACATACGGTTACAACCATTACACTGTGGTGTGTTGCTCTTTCATTATTTACACAAAATTTCAGTTACAATTCCATTTTCCTATTCAATATTCTTACATAAATTTTCAGTTGTAAGATAGTTTCTTTTCTTACCCAATTTTCCTTTTATCCCTGAGTCATCTTCCTTTTTTGCTTCTCATCTCCTCTCAAATCATTTACCAATCAATTCTTTCTTCCAAAATTTCTGAATTGGTGACC